TCCCACTTCTGACACCATGTCGTATCCGCTCTAAGCCGAGCGGTACGATATGATTGAAAGACACACACCACTCCGATGTCACTGCCTCAAAAAGAATTCAGTGTTTATTCAGCAGTCGCTTTTTATCTCTTTACACCAGTGCTGTCATAGGGCGGCGCAGTGCTTGGTCCGAACTAAGATAACCATAACACTACAGTGCTTTTTTCAGGATGTGCGGCTGTCATCTCAGGCGCTTTGACCACACAGCCACAGGTTCCCGATGGTCAATATGTCCTCCTTCCTCTCATCGACATTCTTTTGAGCCGCAACATCGCCATTTCTTATACGCTTGTGATTGTCACTGACAACTGTACCTCGCTCCCACTTCTCAATTTCAGCTTGTGCCCGCAAGTGCTTCGCCATGGCATGTCTTTAGCCAATATATCTAATGCTCCCCGACGTCCTTTCGAGCCGCAACATCGCCATTCCCCATACACTTGTGAGTGTCACTGACAATTGTACCTCGCTCCAACTTCTCAATTTCAGCTTGTGCCCTCAAGTGCTTCCTCGTGGCATGTTCTTGGCCAGTGTATCTAATGCTGACGAATTCAAAATAGCGGACCTCACCATCGAGATTGATTTACTTCAGTCTCCTGTAGCTAACAGCCCCTGTTCTCTACCCGATCGTTTCACGAAGACGATTGCACCCGATCTTAACCCTGCGTAAGCCAACGACATCTATCGCCTTCTCGCATCATATACCGACTTTTTTTATTCTGACAACATACTTCTAAGGCAAATATTCGCAGTTCACCACCGTATAAACACTGGTGACGCCAGTCCTATTCGCCGATGCTCCTATCGTGTCTCCCCCACTGAGCGCAGAGTTATCCAAACAGAAGTTGACAAAATGCTCAACAAAGGTGTCATAGAACCATCAAATAGTCCTTGGGTCTCCTTGTCATGCTTGTGAAGAAAAAGGACGGTACCTGGCACTTCTGCGTTGACTATCGCCACCTCAACAAGATCACACGAAAAGATGCATACCCGCTAACACGCATCGATGATACGTTGCACTGCTCGTACTGTGCTACATATCTCTCGTCTATTGGTCTTCGGTCCGACTACTGGCAGATTTCAGTCGATGAAACGGACCCCGAGAACCAGTTTAAGGTCATGCCTTTCGGACTATGTAATAATGCCCCTGCCACATTCGAATGAATGATGGACTCTCTCCTGCACAGTTATAAGGGGTTTACTTGTCTCTGTTACCTAGACGATGCCATAGTCTTTTCATCTACTTTCGATAGCCACCTGACCCATCTCGCTGCAATTCTCGCAGTCTTCAGAACAGCTGGGCTACAAGTGAATTCCAAGAAATGTCAATTTGGCCGCCATTTGATTGCCGTTCTGGGCCGTCTTGTAAACACCGATGGCATACAACCGGATACCGAAAAGATCCGCATTGTCTGCAGCTTTCTGGTGCCCCGTTCTACATCTGATGACTGTAGCTTCATCGGCTTATGTTCGTACTAGTGTCGCTTTGTCAAAATCTTCGCCGACGCTGCCAGACCACTCATAGATTTGCTGAAGAAGGATGCCACATTCTCATGGGGTCCTGATCAGGCTCAAGCGTTCACTGCTCTCATCGGCTACTTAACTACGCCCCCCATACTTGCCCACTTTAATCCTTCTGCTGCCACAGAAGTTAGCATTGACGCCAGTGACCACGGTATCAACGCAGTTCTCGCTCAGCGGCACCACGGCAGACAGTGCGTGATAGCTTATGCCAGTCGCTGTTTTCTCCCCCAGAGAGGAATTATTCCATCACCGAGCGAGACTGCTTAGGTTTAGTTTGGGCCATCGCCAAGTACCGGCCATATCTATATGATCGCATATTCTCCGTCGTTACGGACCACCACGACCTCTGCTGGATGACTTCTCTGAAGGATCCGACTGGACGTGTGGGTCGCTGGGCTCTGAGGCTCCATAAATTTTCATTTAGCGTCAGCTACAAGTCTGGCCATTTGGACAAGGACGCAGACTGTCTTTCTCATCATACACTGGATCCTCCTGATCCCGCTGTGCCTGACCTGGAGAGCAGCATAATAGTTTACTGACATCAGCGATATGTGCATCGAACAGCAGGATGAGTCAGTGTGCACTATCATCGAGGGCATCTAGTCTGACAGCCATGACACTGAATCCCCTTTGTTCGTGCTGCATTACAGCATCCTCTATCACCGCAACGTCAGCACTGAAGGCCCTGAGCTTCTGCTTGTCATTCCTTGTCATCTACGGCCTGCAATACTTAAACAACTTTACGAAGCACCAACGGCGGGACACCTCGGCGTTTCCCGCACATACGACCGCGTGCAACGTCAGCTTTTCTGGCCTGGACTATACCACAGCGTGCGTCGATATGTCGCCACTTGCGGCCTCTGCCAGCACCGGAAAAGACTTTCTTTGCTGCCAGCTGGATATCTTCACCCAATTTAGGTCCCCTCTGAACCATTTCATCGCTTGGGACTCTATCTTCGTGGCCCTTTTCTGACGACTACACTGGAAAATAAATGGATCGCCGTCAACACAAATTATGCGACCCATTTCGCGATAAAAAAGGCCATGCCAACCAGTTGCGCCACAGACATCTCAGATTTTCTTCTTTATGCCATTATCTTACACTACGGTGCACCCCGACAGCTGGTTACCGACCACGGCCGCTCTTTCTTGTCCAGAGTTGTCGACGACCTCCTTCCATTGTGTGCCACAGTGCACAAGCTATCTACCGCCTACCACCCACAAACTAATGGCCTAACTGAATGTCTCAACCTCACGCTAACAGAGATGCTTTTGATGTATGTCTCCCAAGATCATTGAGACTGGGACACCACGTTGGCCTATGTGACTTTCGCATATAATTCCTCTCGACATGACACCACAGAATTTTCACCTTTTTAGCTTTTGTGTGGTCGCGACTCCATATTGCCCTTTGAAACCACCTTGCCTCTCGTGCAATCTGCTTCCGCGTACGCTCGCGAAGCCACTGATCGCGCTCGCATGGCTCGTCAAGTTGTCCTGTCTCGTCTCCCCAGGTCACAGGATTTGCCAAAAGCCCGCTACGACCACCGGCATTGTATTATAACGTTTGCCCCAGGTGACCGCGTGCTCCTCTGGTTGCCATGTCGCCGTGTTGGTCTCTTCAAAAAACTTTTGTCCTGATACGCAGGACCCTACCTAGTCTTATGTCATGTTAGCGAAGTGAACTATGAGATAGTGCCATTGGACTCCAATACTTCACCAAGTTCATCACTTGTTGACGTTGTCCATGTTTCGCACATGAAAACCTACTTCTCTCGCACTTTTCCGGACTCGCGCCAAGACAGCGCTCCAACGCCTGGGGGTCCTGTTACGGATATGAAGTAAAGAAATACGAAGGGCAGAAGCAGCTGACAGGCATGAGAGTGTGCCAGTCAGCCATTGTGACTCTTGCCTGTGGTTTTCCTCTATAAATGCATCTTGTACAAACGTTACCAACCCCATAACAATATGAAGTCTTAATTCAAGTTCTTGCCCAAAAATTTATTTTAAGAAAAACACCTTTGCTACAAGTCGAAGCTCATCTACTATAAGTTAAAGGTATGTTTTTTAAAACTATTTCTTCCATCATTAGAGCTTGGCAATCATTCTTGTTTTGGGCATGTGGGTTCAATAAATTCCTCTTGCAAAATGCAATGACAAGCAGCCAGGTGAGATTTTCCAGGGGACTCTAGACAATGAGCACTTTTTAGTTTTTAGTAGCCACCTAGTGCTCCTTAAAAGCGATTTCAACCTAATTTGAGTTTAATATCAATCTTCAACTTTTCTGTCATGAAAGTAGAGAAAATAAACTTGTGAAAGCAAATAAAAATGAAAAATATGTAATACTAAAAGAAACTTGCGTTTTTTCAAATTTAAGGTTGTAATTAGAACAAATATAAATATTTATTATTGAAGTATTTGTGCTTGTATGTTTCGGCTTTCAAGGCTTCTAGACATCTTAAAACACTTACTGTGTTCGCATAATATTGTGGTCAGGTACTATTTTATCCAAAAATTTGGAGTATTGAAAATAATAATAAATAATAGGCCCTTTATTTTTCATCAAGGCAATGAGAGAAGCCGGGATATGAAGCCGAGACACAGCTTGACTTGCTCCCCCCCCCCCCCCCCCCAAAGGTACACTTTGGCGAGTGTGCATCGATGTGCGTGAACCACCTTATTTTAACAGGGTAAGTAAATAGCAAAGTGAGAAAAAAATGAAAGAATAGAGAAACATAGTTATTAGCAACAATGCGAAGTAATTTCACTTGAAATAATCAAGACCACATTTCAACAATTTATAATATAATAATAAACACCAAATTTTAGGTAATTTGTGTTTATTATATTTTATTATTATAAATAAAAGCCAATAATTGCAAAAATTTCTTTTTCCATGGAAGAAACTTAAAAAAACACCCGAATTTGAAAAAAAAAATTAACTCCCAAAACACGGAGCCCAAATTTTGACAGATTCACACAATGGAGAGTAAGTATTTCGCTTTCTTTAAAACAAGGCTTTTACAGCCTTGTTTCACTGATGTTGATAATCTCACCGATGTTGATATTGCCATATTGCCATCATGGTCGGAAACTTGAAAAAAAAAAAGCTTTATAAGTCAATAAAGAAGAAAGACAGGTAGCTGGTGCAAAAAAAATCAAGCTCAATAATATATTATTTTTGTAAAAGAACTCCATACACAGAGCCCTAATGTCTCGAATAAGTCATCCAACCTAGAATATGAATTGGGGTACCAGACTGCTTTTAAATGTTTTACAACAACCATATTAACTGAACCCGTTAGTTTGCATCTGTTTGTTTATGACTCATGTGGTCGTTTGCATGTTGGCCACATTGTTGATGAGCAAGACCGGGGTTTGCCCTTCATGAGATATGAAGGAAGTCCTTGAAAAATCCTTGAAATGGCATCAGCCTTCACTTTTTAAATTTCAGGGACATGGATTTGCCATTGATGTTGGAATCCTACGCAGCGACAATCTTCGACACTCTGAAATGGTTCACACACGCACGTGTATGCTTTGAACCAAAGTTAATATCGCCCCTTTCCTGCGCTGAGAGAGCCTGCTTCGATTGCTGACACCGCTGCTTGTCTAATGGTAAAAATAATATTGACATGCTCTTGGTTTTCTTGTAGCGGAACAGGCACGGAACACCTGTTAGGCATCCTCTTCCCGACATGTTTCCACTAACATAAACACGTCATCATATCCAGCAGCTTGTCTAGCGTGGCACGAGCATTTTAATACACGAATGGTGGAGATGATCACCTCTGGGCTGCTGCGTTGCGGTATTTTCAAGCAGCATATGAAGCTTGCCCATAGTGTTTCGTGACCATAAGAAGAATGACTGGCACTAGGGTGCCTTTTGTCCTCTCCTCATATGCGAACAAAGGAAGAGGTCAACTGCGAAAGTAGAATTGGGGTGGGGGAGAGGCCGCCGTAACGAATTGGGTACATTTGTGATGTTGGTTGTTCGGTAAAAGTTCGCTGATTGTGAGTTCTTGTAGAAAACGCTGTTCTCCGATTGCATCTAAGTTCTGCATTACGTATTTTTATGCCAGACTGCACTTTAGAGCAAGATCCTTTGTCAGGCTACGTAGCCTTTGCTATTGCTTCATTCTTTTTCTTTCTGCTATATGCACAGAAATAAAATTGCAGGACCCCTAAGCTTCGCCTTTAATAGTTCAACGCGATAGCAATCTCCTGTCCCTAGTGCGCTCCGAGTTCAAAATGGCTTGTGTCAGTGAAGCTTTCGCATACGGCTGCATTCTGTTTAATGGGTAGCATGCTTTAAACCACGGGCAATTGCGCACGTTAAATCTTTCCGAACTCGCTATGCACTCACTACGTGGCCTTAACGGTAAAGACGCAGTAGCCTGCCTGACTTTTGTAGTGGGCCGCCCATGAATTCATGATAATTGCAGGTTCTGATGCCCGATTGCAATGTGTGCTTGTACCATGCATTACTACTGCAATATTTTATGTTGCATTGTAAAGCATGTATACAGGATGCGTGTAATTGTGAAGTATGAAAGATACTTTCACTGCATTTTCAAGCATACTCGTGGCACTGTGCCATCATACGAGTTGCGAAGCTCCCCATAGGCTCCATGTATCAAAATCCGAACACGACATTGGCCGAAATGGCGAAAGAGAGTAGATTGTAGCGCCTTTTCTTGACAACAAAACTAACTAGAAAACGCAATATTTTGTGTTTTTGTGTTTATCAGGATTGTGAGCGCCGCCACATTCTGCCAAACAGCATGGTAGTGCCTAGGACTTGTTTTTAGGTGAGTTGCTGCCAAAAGGTGCTGAACATGCTACTTTGTCGCAGTGGTGGAGACATGATAAAGGTAAGAGGAGCTGCTTGTTATCTTGATGCTCTGTCCTTTTTCTTGTTTTCCGCATTGCACTAGAAGTAACGTGGTTATAAGTGGTGTGTTCGTGTGGTACACAGCTAGCACAGCGTTAATGGAAGGTGCAGCGAAGTCGGTAGTTTATCAAATTTATGTGGGGAGCCCACGATGTGTACATTTAGGTAAAATAGTGAGCAGCAAGACGTGATGCAAGTGGGATGCAGCGTTGATCCAGGTGGATCTAACTTGCATGTCTGTCAATGGCAGCAGACGACGTTGCCCAAGCAGCAAACGCCGGTGCCATTGGAAAGACTCCCATGAACATCGCACCTGAAAAGAGTGCTTGCAGTGCTAGTTGCAAGTAAATAGCAGTGGTCAATGTTCCCACTTTCTTGTCATCGGGCTTTCATATTTATATGGTATCCTAGCCGGTATCTCATTGATGTCATGATTAGTGAAATTTGACTGCTGCGTGAAAGACAAAGCGGCCAATTCGCGGTAAGTACTGATCGGTACTGTTGTGCTTCTGTTTGCACTCTACCGTATCTGTGTATTGTTTGTGCAACCATTACTCACATCGTATTAGTGAGACACATCGTGAACCACAGAGTGGCACAGTTAAAAGAATTCGTCAAACTTCCCGTGAGAAATCAATCTCAAGTGCACATTTTCAGACGAGCAAACGAGAAGTAATAGAAATAATCAGGGCGCAGCGTTAAAACCATCGTAGCACAAAATTGCAAGCATCCCCTTCGACGAAATAAAACTAGACGCTTTGACCCGGCTTTGATTACGCCTTTGCAGAGCAAAAACAGCTGACAGCGGCGGCAGGCGCCGTGCAAGCCAAGGTCATTTATTGAAGCGACGACAGCAGTGTTGCACGTGGCATTGAGCAGCCTAAAAAGAAGCGCACGCCCAAGTGTCAATGCAGTGTTTTGCATTGTTGCTCCCAGAGGGCGCGACAATCTGTTCACTGTTATATTATGACTTTTTTGTACAATATTGCAAAGATGCCGATAATGTTGTAGCGAACGCGTTATCTCTGCTGCCAGTTCAGCTTTTGCCAGCACAGGCGCCAGAAGAAGAGACAATTTATTTGGTTGCTGCATGCTTAAATAAGGACGAGTTACAGGCAGCCAGTGCTAATGATGGTACCTTCCAGCAGCTTATTCAATACATTGCTGAGGGTTGGCCTCCAAAGAAGCATTTGACTTCAATACTTGTACCTTACTTTGCAGTGAAAGACGAACTGTTTTATGCCGATGGGCTCATTTTCCGCAGAGAACGTGTTACACTTTTAGAAACTTGTAGGGGGCATTTAATTCACTTAGCCCATGAGAATCATCCAGGCATAATTCAGACAAAGCACCTGCTTTGTGACAGGTATTGGTGACCGTGCCTTGACAAACAAGTGGAAAGTGCGGTTCAGAACTGTTACATCTGTCAGGCTGCCGACAAATTGGCACAACCTGTCTTTGCACCCCTACAACTAGTTTCTTTTCCTGAGAACCAGTGGAAGAAGTTAGGCATGGACATTAATGTTTTTCTGTCAAATGTTCCCTCAGATGGTCGCTTTGCAGTCACTTTGACTATTACTCCAAATGGGCTGAGGTAGGTTTCATTCGAGACGTTGCGTCTGATGCAGTCATCACCTTCCTGACTTCACTCTTCTGCTGTGAGGGTTTTCTAGCATGCTTAGTAAGAGACAATGGTCTCCAGTATAAGTCTTGTCAGTTCGAAACTTTCCTTTCCGAATGAGGTATTCAACACCTCTGTTCTTGCAACTACTATTTTCAAGCCAATGGGCAGGTTGAGTGGTTTAACAGGGTCCTTAAAGGGTACATTCAACTAGCCCAACTAGAACAACGTCCTCTAAAGAAGGCAATTAGGAAGTACTTGGGTACTTACCGCTTTTCTGCTCAGGCAAATACGGGATCGTCTCCCGTGATGTTGCTTCATAAGCGTCAGCCTCGTATAGCAGTTGACATAGCTGATCTGCCGTTGCCTTCTACTACGCAGTCGTTTTCGGACAATATGATAAGGACGCGAGTTTTTCATAGGCAGAAGTACATGAAGAATTATGTGGATCAAAAGCGAGGAGCCAAACCTCCAGTCATTCAGGTTCGCCAAAGAGTCAAAGTAGGTGTTCCAGGAAAAAAACACAAGTATAGAAAACCGTTTACCGTTATGTCGGCAGTGGGATCCCCGGCATTTAAGCTCAGTGATCGATCAGTTTGGAATGCTTCTAAACTTGTAATCGTCCATTCCAAATGGGAACCACCTTCACGCCTGCACTCTTCAATACCTTTGCATAATAAGTCGCAATACTCTGCCTCAGTTCCACGATTGGTTTCTATCTATATTCCTGCAGCATCACCATCTTACCCTGGGGTAAATGGTATTCAGGAACCGGTTTCAAATCCCGCTTTGGTGCCCAGCCACCATGAAGTTTTACCATGCACCGAGCACGCTTCAGAGTCCTCGGACTCTTCTCTGGCTCTGTGACAATACTCTAGTGACGAGCAGAGTTCCCATGCTAGTATCTTTCTTAACACTAATGAACATGCTTCCGAACCTTCAGGTTCTCATGTTTCCCGTCAGGGTTCTCAGTCTCCAGCTACAACTGAAGGACGCTTAAGCGAGTCGTCGGACTCCTCAATGCTCTCAGCGGTGCCTGAGCTGCGCGTAAACGAGCCAGTAGGCTCATCCTCACACATTGAACTTGCTGCTCGCAAGGGAGCACTTCAGAGCGCGATGAGCTTCGGCATTTTAAGCGTTCGCGTAAGAAGCCGTCCAGGTTTAAAGACCTCGTGCCCTAAATTTTTTTTTACAACTCGTATGTTGGAGCCTGTACTATACGTGTGCATTGCTGTGTGTATACTGTGCATTTATTTATTGTATAAGAGTCTACCGCTTGTTACACTGGTATGCTGTGATTTATCGTTTTATATTGTTGGTATGAGTGCTTTCAGCCATGGTGCGCTGTGTACATAGCTATGTTTTTTTTCTCCTTCTCATGCCGCTTTTCTCTTCTTGAATTGGTTACTATATGACAAAAGGAGGGGAGGGTGTTGAGGTTGTAAATGCAGTAATTTAAGTTATATCGTGCCTATAAAATTCATAAGGTTATAAAAGTTGTTTATGTGCCATTAATCATTGTGTAAGGATCGTAGAGCCACATGTTCTAATAATAACAGAAACTTGGCTTCACCATGGAGTACGTGACTCAGAAGTTGTCCCCACTACATACAGATTGTTCCGTAGGGACAGAGAGTCAAGAGGCGGTGGTGTAGCGATAGCAATTAGAAAGAATATCAGATCCTTAGAACTCGATGGTATTCCTGACAATGAAAGCATCTGGTGCAAGTTAACATATTGCAACAAAAGTGTAACTGTAGGAGGGATATATAGGCCTCCAAATGCGGCACCTGACTACATCGAAATGATTCATGATCATCTTAGCATACAAACTCAAAGTCAAAAATAATTCTTGCTGGGGAATATAACCTTCCCTGAACAAATTGGACCAATATTTCATATGATGGTCGTGATGTCACGAGTTCGAATTGCTTCTTGACGTGGCTTTCACGTTTTCACTGAATTAACTAGTGACTGATAACACTCGGATCACTTCAACATCATCGTCTTTGCTTGATGTAGCGTTTGTAAGTAGCACACATTAGAAGGTTCTTCTGTGTCCATCGAGAATGGCATTTCGGACCACAAAGTGATTTCTTTGACTTGTCCTATTACTTACACGCAGAAATACAAAAAGGCACTACCTACTTACTTTAAAGATTACACCCGTGCAAATGATCGCGCTGTACTACGTTTCCTAGAAACACAGCTTCATGAATTCGCCGAGCTAACAGATATAGAAGAACTCTGGACACGTTTTAAAATCATTGTCAACTATTGCGAACGTACCTTCATTCCAAATAAAAAGAAACGCATCAACGGGGAGTATCCTTGGATAACTGATGAAATAATTCAACTGAAGATAAAAATAAAACGACGGAGGAAAAAAGAAAACAAGAGCAACACATTCGATTTTATCGGAGCTTTGAAACATTACCTAAATGTTCGAAGCAAAAGCTCATTTTTTTAACACTACGTTACCTTTATTTATGACCCACAGTCCCCAAAAATTCTGGCGATACTTGTCAGATGAAAGAGATTCAATCTCGCAAATTAAGTATTCAGAGCAAGTTATTAGGGAACCAGAGCAAATCGCTAATGAAATGAATCAGTTTTTTCAATCAGTTTTTACGAAACATGCCACTAACGCAGTACTACCCCCCTATACTGTGAAAGTACCCATGGAAGAATTAATTGTAAGTGAAGAAGGCATACTTGCTCTTCTGCTCAAGCTCGGTCTACCATCCACAAAGTAATTCGATCAAAATCTTCCCTCCATAATGAAGTGCATTCTGCGAATGCTCTGTTTCGAGATGGGTGCTGACTAGGATGAAGCTGTTCCATGATGCTCTTTACTCTGCACTCTGTCACTCACGAAGAGACTGGTTTCACACCGGCGGAACTTGTTTACGGTCGCGCACTTCGCTCCCCGCTCATGTTGTTGAAGGAAAAGTGGGAAGACAAGTTTGTAGACAAGTCAGTTGTTGAGTAAGTGCTGACATTGTTGAAGCGCCTACGTGAATCGCAAGAACTGGCACAGATAAACAAGGCGGAAGCCAGAAACGCTCAAAGGTGTACTACGACAGATGTGCATGCACACAAACGTCTTTGGAAGGCGACAAAGTGCTCACTATAAGGTCTTCGAAGGCAAAGAAACTGGAAGTAGCATGCGATAGGCCGATCACATTTAAACAAAAGCTCTCGCACACCAATTACTTGGTAACTATGCTCGGTTAGTGCAATGATGTGACAATATATAACTGCAATCTGATGAAGCCATTTATCTAGCGCAAAAAGACGTTGAGCATTGTGCTGAATAAACCAGAAGAGATAAACGATCATGTTCCCCAAGTGCCAACCCCCTGCTCTTTCCCATTAACAGAAGAGATACTTGAATCTGTCACTAAACAAGCTACTCTAGCTGACAAGGAAAGTAAGGAGTTGGAACTGCTTGTACGTAACTTTAGCGACTTGTTTAATTCCTATACTTGCAAGACAAATCTTGCGCAGCACATTATTACAGCATTGAGTTAACATCCAACCAATCGTTCCGAACCAGGATGCACAGATTTTCGCCCCGTCATGAGAACCTCTTGAATGAATGCGTTCAAAACATGTTGACACTGGGTCTAATTGTGCCACGGGAAAGCGAGTATGTGTCAACCATGTTTATCATGGAAAGTCCTGGCAAGAAACCATGACCCGGCATCAACTATAGAAAATTGAATGCGATAACAAAGATGTTTCCCAATCCAAAGGTTGAGGCCATGATCAAGAAAGTGTCCGCGGCACAGTACGTTTCTACGTTAGATCTGATATGCGGATTCTGGCAAGTGCCACTCACAAAAAACGCCAGTAAGCTCACCACGTTTATGGCCCCAACAGGCACATATCACCCTCTTGGGCTCGCTTTTGGCCTCAAAAATTCACCCTTCATATTTTGAAAGCTAACGCATGAAGTGCTCAAAGGAGCCAAGTCATTTGCTGTTCCATACCTTGACGATATAGCTGTTTTTTCGACATAGCTAACATCATCCATTAGTAATACATAAGAAAGGAGATGACAAGGACTTGAAGAATTACAAGCCGATCAGCTTGCTCTCCATAGTATACAAGCTATTTACAAAGGTAACTGCTAACAGAATTAAGACAACATTAGAATTCAATCGTCCAAAGGAACAAGCAGGATTTCGAACAGGCTACTCAACAATGGACCACATTCATACTATCAATCAGGTAATAGAGAAATGCTTCGAATATAGCCAACCACTATACATAGCCTTCATAGATTACGAGAAGGCGTTTGATTCAGTAGAAATATCAGCAGTCATGCAGACACTGTGGAATCAGGGCGTCGAGGAAGCATCCTGGAAGAAATCTACAGGAAATCAACTGCTACCATAGTGCTTCATAAAGAAAGCAACAGAATACCAATCAAGAAGGGTGTAAGGCAGGGGGATACAATCTCTCCAATGCTATTTACCAGGTGCTTACAGGAGGATAACTGCCGGTCATTAATGGTAACTAACTGAATTCCTAGAGAAGGCAAGTGGGTTAGGGGGAGACAGAAGGTTAAGGGGGCAGATGAGACTAAGAAGTTTGCGGGTATAAATTGGTGGCAGCAGCAAGCACAGGACCGAGTTGACTGGCAGAACATGAGAAAGGCCTTTGTCCTGCAGTGGAAGTAGTCAGGCTGATGATGATGATGACATCATGTATTTCTTCGAATACGCGAGGCAGGCTTGACTCTCGAACTCTGCAAATGTCGTCTTGTGAGCTCTGAAGTCCACTACTTGGGGCATTTTGTTGGCCAAGGGAAGCGACGTCCTTCCAAACTAAAAGTTGAGGCAATCACTATCTTTCCTTTGCCAAAAACAAAGACTAACTTACGTTTCTTTTTGGGTTTAACTGACTACTACAAAAGCTATATCCCAAACTTCGCAAATATCACTAGTCCTCTCACAGATGCTCTGCGCAAAACAGAGCCAAACATTGTGCACTAAAATAAAGCACATAGAAATTCCTTTGCTGAGATTAAAAAGCCTCTCGTCAGCGAACCCGTCCTTGCTGCACCAGATTACTTTCTCCCCTTCTTAGTTCAATGTGACGGCAGCGACCGTGGACTGGGCGTTATTCTATGTCAGGTAAACAGAAAGGGCGAGGAGCATCCTGTTGCCTACGCGAGTCGAAAACTAACTTCACACGAGCAGGCCTATAGTACAACAGAAAAGGAATGTGCTTGCTTGGTGTGAACTCTCGAAAAGCTCTCGTGTTACCTGAAAAGCTCTTCATTTGTTTTTGAAACTGATCACTCCTCTTTGGTGTGGTTAAATCAAATGCTAAACAAAAATGGCCGCTTGATGCACTTTAGCGATTTGATTTCTCAATGCGGCACAAGAAAGGCATAAACCATGCCAATGCTGATTGCCTTAGCCGTATCTGCTAACAAATGGGCATTGTTTCTGTCGTTCGTGCACATGTACCTTGGCGCAAGTTTTTTTTTTTGTACATTTCATGTTCGGCTTTCATGTTAAACTTGGGTGCCATGTTGCTTCTGACGTAGTTACTGCATTTCTGCTGCTCATTCACTGAGCCATTTCAGTTGCTGTCGTGCCGGCTGGCGAGATCAACCCTGCTCCACGCGTCTGCTGCGAACTACCATGCCAAGCAGTTAATTGGCACTCGGCGAGTGGTGCCCGTACAGAACTTCACCTCTTCCTGGCCTTTCCAGTCCAATTTCGCGGGCATGTTTCAGACAAAGAAGCACAACGCTTTGTTTTGTTTCTTTCTGTACTGTGTACATCAACGACTGCGCCTCCATGCACTTCGGCGCCAATGTGAAGCCAATGTGGCCGTGCGACAATGGACGCGACCGTGCAAATCGTGTCAGTGCTCTGCTTTGACAAATCTGCCCACATGTTGGCTTCCTGTTACCACCTCCAGTCATTTATAAAGCGTCATCCTCATGAACACCTTCCGATACGGGTAGCTTTGGCCGAGTTGTAACATACGCAATGCTCACCCTCCTTTCTATGTTGGGGCTTTCCGATAAGATTGCCCCGCTTGATGTGCTATTTTGTTTTCTTTCCTTTCCTGCCAACCTTCAACTGACCGCGTAGTGCTTAAAAATGTTTCGCAAACTGAATAAAGGAGATTTGTCTTCTTGACACTGCTTGAGTCATACGTTTCCTAGGTCAGCTGTCGTCCAGCCGCCGAATATGTATTAAACAGTACTTCCCACTTATACACATTTCGAAATTATTTTTACCTAAATGAAAACCCCTAAAGGTTGGTGTTCCCTCCCTTAGGACTTAACATACATTCTTATTTTCATGTTCGGAAAACCAGTGAAGAATGGAGCCACCTGACCACATGCATTGTGCTGCTGAGAATGCCTTAATGTTCAAGGTAGCATCTTATGAGTGATCATCTGTCTCTAATTTGTCATTTCTCATTAGAACCCCCGTGTTAAAAGCCTCACCAAATGTGAAACTTGACAGGGGTGGTGACAGCATTAGTGTTCCGTTGTGCCAAAAACGAGTGATGTAAAAAATTATCATCATGATAATGTCCCAGAGTATCAAAATTTGTGACATTAACATGATGTGACTTGACATAATGTCACATAATATTGTCATTACCTGACATCATAGCTTGGTCAAAAGTAGCCCGATCATGGAGGCAATGTAAAAACCAGCGGCTGTGCCTGCGATCTTTGAAACAGTGTGAATCCACATTTGATGCAGAAAGCTTTTGAACGATGATGGGGCAGGATCAACACATCGGCCAAAAAGAATATGGTGTTTGTCTTCAAGCCGTCTTTAGTCAATGCATAAAAAACCCTGTTTTTTTTTCCTTTTAACATACCTAGGTGTTGCATAATGTTTAGCCAGCCATTGTCAACTTTTCTTATACTTTAGCAATTGTCTGTAAATTTGAACCATTTTTTTCTGCAACGGGCACTCACAAAAAATAAGCAAGATGAAATGAGTTCACGCACCCACGTCATACCTAAGGCACAGGGTTCAAGATGGCATTAGTCGAGTTGCTGCAGCTAGTACATATGTGTCAACAGTGTACTGGAGAGAACTTATTATGTTTGTTGCCGACACAACAGAAAAAAAAAGAATGGGCTACTCAAATTGCAACATGGGTGCTGACTTGAGGTAGAGTACAAGTACAGTTGGGCTGACAATAAGGGCTCTCATTATTTTTATCTCTCGAACACAAGATAAAACAAAGCAAGGACTTCAAAATGATAGATAACAACTCACAGCATTTTTGTCTTCATTGTTGGCATGGTACTTTCGTACCATACGCCCCAACAGAAGCCAGCACATTCGATGCTCAGTAGACTTGCAGATTTCCTGTGTGCACAACCCAGAGAAAAAAAAAAAACATGTTAACCGTAAGCATGGCCGGCTGGACATAATTTTTGTTTGGTTTATTTATCTATGACACTGTAAGATTGGGTGATTGATATTTACTTACACACCATACTGTGGGTTCCTAGCATGATACAGCTCAAACCAACTCGAGACCAGTTTGGTTAAAAGCAAACTTTACCAAACTGGCAGTGCATCCAACCAATCATGCTTCAATAGAGCTCAGCACGTTGCAAAACAAGCAAAACAACAAACAACTATGGCCTAGTTGCAAACAACAAACAACTATGGTGTGCTGTAAATGCAATTCATTATGGCAACTCATTGCACAACAGCTATAGATAACACATGAGGCCGGCTGGGTAAAACATTGCTGCATGTTGTGTCAAGCCATACTTGCACAACATGGTCACTCATGGACTTTTACTTTCATTTGTATCTATCTACTCACAAAAATTAATGAGAGCTGTGTCAGAATGCCACAAATGCCAAAAGCACTGCATTGTCATGATAGCTTCCATAATGTCTTTTTGACATGAAGCTACACTGGTACCTAGTTAATTTGTATTTCATGGAGACCACCCAATTAAAAAAAAAAACCTAATTTTTTACACTTGGTGCTGCCGTGCCACCAAACTGCATGCATCCTCCGAGACGCCTACAAATACCATTCTGCAGAGTAAATGTTTGTATATATGCTTGCACTAATTTTGCTAGAATGTACCCGATGACAGCCATTCTGTGCTTCTCGCAGAAGTGCTGTATGCTCAGCTGTTTCATCAAGACTGCCACTTATTTATTTATTTATGTGATGTAGGAAGGCAGTGACTGATTATAGAAGCCGAGGAGGAAGAAGCGCTTTGGAATAAACATGACCTATGAGCCAGGCCACATCGCCCATTCATCATAGCATCACATGAGTCAACAGGATAAAGACCTGGCAGCCACTTCATCAACAGGCCATCATCATCGAACACCTCAGCAAGACGCAGTGACAGAACGTGGACAACACAAGTGCATCCCAACTATACACCATGACCAGCATCATGACAGCACCATCAACTGACCTTGACATCCCCAAGTACACCCGGACGATGGACCTGTACAGGACTGGTTCAACCTATTCGAGCTCCACGCCGCCAACCGCACACTATGATCGATTCCCTAAAAGTCCTCAAGCATTCAAAAGCCCTACGTGAATCGACAACTGCCACAAGACGAAGTGGCACATGTGTTTACTCACAGAAAACCATGCGTATTTTGGGAAAAACCCAACCATCAAGCGCGCCGCCCTTCTGCACGCAAGACGGCATTTCCAAAGTTGTTGCATCAACATATGACACGAGATGTCACTTACCCTACTGATGCCCTTTGTGCTTTGTCTCGCATACATGGTCCACTACCTGGTTTTCTACGACGCAGCTTTTCAAAGCCTCCTAACGGTCACTATTGGTGTCATAAGGACGCCTTGTTCATGGTATACCAGCTGATGCATGGGGAAAATATCGAACAACGCCATGACAATTCAAAGAATGAAAATCTTGGTTTTCCATCGCTTGGCTTTTTCGTCGCTCACAACGCTCACCTCACACGCCCACTACAGTCGGGATAGAGCTGCGAAACTCGGAGGATACTCAGCCATGCCCTGCGGCTTCTATCCAGATTCATTCATCAGAACAGCTCAGCTCGTTAGTTGCATGGAAAGACGGGCATTCAAACCTGAAATCTGACCAAACCACGCCTGTTGCGGTGTCACCGTCCAGAGCACAGCCACCTGAAAATCCAAACACAGAAGGCTCAGAAGCACCAACTCTCACAGGGTACCGGATGCCAGAATCTTTCGTAATGAACGATGTCGCAGGTGCCAGTGATATTCCTCCAGTCAAGTCTGTTCTACTAACTTCATTGCATGAAAAGCATTGCAACAGCTACTAAGTGAGCACTACGTCAAGTTGCCAAGAAAAACATTGCCTTTTTTTTAGAAAGGCTGCCACCTCAGTGTTTTTCGCAACACCAGCAAGACCAGCACAAGAAAATCAACCAGGTTAAGCGACATGCTATCCGACATGGACAACCACAGTCATCGAAAGACCGCTCGCAGCTCAAGGAAAGCCATTTGCAAAAGACTCAAGTGAAGTGTCGACAAATTCAAGATGTCTCCCTCGAGAAGAGCAAAAACATATCAGATTCAAGACATTTTCCCAAAAAGGAACATCATACAAGTTTTCTCCAGCAGAGATCAAGACGGGGCCAGATATCCAAACATTGCCCACGATTCGATTAACGGATCTAACGCCACAGAAAACTACAAAAGAGACTGGACGTTACCATTTGTACAATGCACAAACATAGACATAGTTAGTTGAACTTCAGTTCTTTTACACGCAGCCTGTAAGCACTGATTCTGTCTCAGCCGTGACACAGAATACAGCGCGTACTACAGAGAATTCGGCGCCTATGACATTAGACCTTCGAATGCTATAAAGACTTCCAATCTTGCTCGTTCCTCGCAGCTGCTCAAGTCGTGTCATGGTCAGTGCAGTTTTGCAAGATGCAGTTACCTTCTTCAGAACGCCACAGCTAGCCTCGCCCACCAGAACTCCCCCATTCACCGGACTGCTGCCCTCTCCTGAGAATATTTTGTGCAAGTTTTGCAACTCTCATATGGTGTGGAACTACTGCAACTTCTGAAATTTTTTTATGATGATACACCACTTGTTTATTCTATGTAATTTGTAGCTCGCACATTCTTTCGGAGGGAGGGGGAATTCTGTGACGTAGGAAGGCAGTGACTGATGGTAGAAGCCGAGGAGGGAGAAGTGCTTTGGAATAAACATGGCGAATGAGCCGGGCCACGTCGTGGTGGTGAGTCGTGGTCGCCCATTCACCATAGCGTCACATTAGTGTAGGAGGGAAATAACTTTTAAACAGATATTTAAAAAAACATATTCAACAAAATAATACATTTCAGAACATTAAAGAGAAAAAGAAGAAAGTGTAGAATGGCGACAAGCCATTAACACTACGGTGTACATAAAAGAAATAAAGCTACATAATAAAGCATGCAATGGTGATACGTAGTTATCAGAATATGCACAGCAAAATATGTTTAAATATTATAAACACATATATACACACACACACCTATACAGGCAGAGATTGCAAAAAGATCACAAAAAGTAAAAAAAAATTGAAACAATTTCAAGCATAGACTGCTAAAAGGAACAAACAAAAGTATATTCAGGCTACAAAAAAATGTGATCTTGAAGCATGACGCTGAATATTTCCTTGGACACGGTTACAATTTCTTGAGGTAGTTTGTTCCACTGCGGTATGGATAGTGAGAAAAGTGAATATTTAAAAACGTTAATTCTGGCAGCGAACCTTAGGTGGGTGGCCAGTGCGAGCAGACATAGGCTTCAATAAATAGTTCTCTTTGTGATTACCCATTGAACCATGAAATATTTTGTGAGACAGAGATAAACATAACACGTAACTTAAACGTAACTTGCACTTGTCTTCAAAAAGGGGCCATCTTAAAGTATTCCTGATTTCTAAGCCCATATCAAATTCAAGAAAGTGCAAATGCTTGGTGACGTCAAGGATGACTGAATTTGCTAGCGTGGCAAGGGCAAAACAATGGATATGCCTCGATTGCTGTCACTAAATATTCTGCATGAACTTTTCATTCCGATTGCATATATCCACTCATTAAAATTTATGACAGCTGTGTCAGAATGCCACAAATGGCAAGAACATTACATCATCTTGGTAACTTCGATAATTTTTTGACATGTGACTGATACTGCAACTGTTGATTTGAATTTTACAGAGACCAGTAATTTGTTGCAAGAAAAAAGAGCTTGCACTAAAGAGAGCCCCTCAAAATATGGTGCTTGGCAGGCAGAGATGGCAAGCATGCATCTTGCCATCTCTGCTTGAACCAGACACTATCTTCATATGTATTGTAGGGAAAGAAGTTATTACAAGCACAGCTATAGACGGTTTCAAGCTCACAAGCATTGTACCCCAAAAACTTCCTGTCACCTCATTTAGCAGCTCCTAACGTCAAAACTAAAAGTATGTTTTATAGTTTTTTTTTCAAGGAAAAGGAAAGTCTCTTCAAGAGAATCTATTATAATCTTTTTGTAGCTCGAAATAACATCTATTTGAATATATCTTGTCAAATAAGAGAATAATATTTGAATATATCTTGTCAAATAAGAGAATAAAAGTGTAAAAAATGAGTGGGCTATTTTTTAAAGCTCTTCTTGCCCACCGATGCTATGAAGGCACATTGGTGAACGAAACCGGATGTAATCAAAGGCCCGTGTTTGTAAACAGTGAAAGGGTTTATGAAGGAGACACTGAGTTTGCTACAATTACCCAAAAGGCAAACTGCCCCTGCAATGCTGTTGTATGCATGGGAGTGCTGGTACTACATGTTGGAACCGAATCAGCTTCGTTTTGAAGAGCCTGGACACTCTGCATCTCTCTAGAACCATTCTTTGCTTTAATTTTGCACTAAACGAACTATGTTTTCTTTAGCATTGTGTAGAAACAAGTTTCATATGACCTTGACTACTTCCGTTGTGATGTTCCATTTCATGAAACCTAAAACATAGTGAACAACCATGAATGCTAGAACAGATTGTAAAATGGCACAAACAAACAAGGACACAAGCGAGAAGACAACCCAGGTACTACTGCGGTCAACATTCAGACGTCATGGTCAACATTCACTATGCGACAGTTTATCGTCTGTTTCTTCGTCTTGCCCTGTGCTTGGAACCTGTGAGTGAGTGTATTGTTGCTTTGAAGAGATCCATTAATGAAGCTTTTGTTTTAGAAAACCTTTATGTGTGCTGTCCTATCCGCCTTTCAAATGAAGCCCCACTAAACACCAGCCAATACAAACCTCGCAGACACATATACAGTAAACCTGCTTATAACAAACCTCCACATAATGAATTCCTCGATAT